AATTAAGGCCTTGATCCTGCAACTGTATCTGCATGGACCTTCCTCTGCATGCATGCAGAGCCCCAGTTAAGTCTAAGATGCTCACTGAATGAGCCACCGCTGGGAGAGACAAGGCTGGACACATTAGAAAGAGGTGAACTATTTTCCCATAAGGAGGAAGGGAAGGTTAAATGTCAAAAAAGGAATATTCTTGAGACCTCTGTCGCCAGTTGGTGCATATAGATGTCCCCTGTCTCTATTGTTAGCCCCTCTCGGGGCTTAGGGACCATTATGTAATGATGACACAGTGCACAGTATTGTTCAAATGTCATCATTTAAATCCAACACCGTGTTAGTGCTCTTTAAAGAGCATCTGCACAGACTTGGCAGCTCACTTACCCATTTCAGGCAGATTAGATGACCTTGAGACAAGAGTTCTCCCTCCCTTCCACCCCCCGTCTCTCAGTGCTGTCTGTCTAGTTCGGAGCTGGCTACAGGATTATGGATTTATTTTTCAGGCCCACTTCTGTTCAGATTCCTATTGCGCATGGCAGTAAATAAACACACTTTAAAATTTAAAAATAAATACACGCGAGAAGAGGTAGCAAGCTACATAGCAAAACAGCTCCTGCAAATTGTAGAGATGCCTCTTGCATGCAGATAGCTTCTGTAAATATACTCTGTCTGCCTAGCTTGCTTTGTATAGAATGGGACGGAATTTTTGGTGGGAACGAAAGGAAGGGAATGGAAAGCACTTTAATGCAACAAAGCTTTGCTTTCAGATAATAAAGCCACAGTTGGAATAAAAGAGCAGTACAGTAGCCACCAATACGCCTTAAACCATGTATTATATATTTGTTTTATGAATATACAGTACGTCAATTATGTGACATAAGCAAAATTAGCCCAGTCCCATAGTGCTATATACCATGAAACAAAATACATTTATTAAAGCTGGGATTTTCAAGTGTGTCCATATTCCATTGAAATTTTGATGCCCTGCTGCCCCTTGCACCTTTGAAAAATGTCCCTGTTAATCTTCATATTAATATAAGATATTTAAGACCTATCAGTTTCCCGCTATATAGTATGTATAGGGCAAGACCAGCATGATTCAATGGGATTATGATGCTGATTTACACCATCTGATGCTATGTAATTGGGACAGCTTTTGAATGTTGCACACAGCATTTGAGATACAGCTACAATAGATTTGATAAGAAATAGACTCTGAAAACAGACTGTAGAGTTAACACTGAGGAGTCTTACGTTGGTCTCACAGTGATTGCATCGAGCCAGCTTAGATGAAATGGTTTTCTTATCTGCTGGCTCTGCAAACTCAAACTGGGAATCTGAGAGGCAAGCTGGATGTTTTACTGGTTCTTGCGTGATCATCTCTAATACAGGCTTGGTAACTGGAATTTAGTTTACAATTCTGGGGGTGATGCACAAGCCAGAATAAAATCTAGCTCCCTCTCTTTAAACTGCGCTGGTATTGAAATGCTAGCACGGGGGGAAGGGAAGGTCCAGATTTTCAGAAATGCTGAGCACCCATGACTCCATCTGAAGCGGCTGCTCGGCACCTCTGTAATTCAGGCCATGAGCGCTTGTTTTAGTCAGCAAAGTCAGCAGATATGACTTTGAAGACGAGCAGGGGGGCAGCTCAGTGGAGTAGGAAACTGCCATTTTCAGAGTCATTTTCTGACGGTAATCGCTCTCTCAATGGAAAGAAGGGGGCCTCCATAATTGTTCCATATTTCCTTCGGAAAACAGAATTTCCTTGTTTCTAAGCTGCAAAAATACATCTCCCTTCAAAGACTAATGAAACGGGGAGGTTTCCACCTAGTGATTTCTAGATAGGAAAACCAGATCTATATTTTGCCAAGTGGTGTGGTTTTTGCAGGTCCCTAAAGCCATCATTATGAGCTGCTTTTGGACTGTGGTTACCATTGTGGGAGTTGGAAATGACCGGGCACTGCTGTGAGCAGCTCACATGGCTGGAATCCTGTCTAATCCTGAAAGGGCGATGCTCTGAAAATGCCTGCAGTGCTGGACTCTGGGCTGGCACTGCTGTGAGGAAGTTCACAATGCAGGAGTGATCGATAGAATTGACAGAGAAGTTCTCACTGTCAAATCAGGGCTGTCCTTAGCAAGGGGACCACTGCACTCAACCTTTCCCTGAAAGGTGATAGCTGCCTCATATACAAGCCATACCCATGAGTCATTTGTCATTTGAAGCGCTGAGGCAAGGGTCCCTGTTGCTAAAACTTTGCTAAGAGAAGGGTAAATACATAAAAGGTTGCATTGCAGAAAGGTTCAGCCATGTGATGCCTATTAAAGTCAATGGAAGTTGAACAACTAAAATACTGGGGGATGTTTTGAATATTTAAGGGTGATGCCTAATGGTTAGCATTCCAGGCTTTCACCAATAGGTGTCACTGTCTGGCCTCATAAATCAAGCAAGAGACAGGTATGTATCCAATTAGTGCTCTCTTCTGTGCCCCCCAATGGCAGTATGAAGTGGTTGCAGAGGCAGTCTTCCATTCCTGGTGGTCTTTAACTCCTAGGGAAAAACCAATCCAGTGCATTGGAAGGACAAGCCCATGCCAGCGTAGCTGATACATACAAAGTGTGACAAAGTTCCTCCTCTATCTTGGTGGGTCCTGCGCTTATTGGCGGATTTTCTTGCCTCAGAGATTCACCATGTGGGTTGGGAAACAGTCCAGAGACCTTCTCCTCTGGAAGAACCCACAGTCCAGGTCAATTGGGAGGTTTGGGGGGAACCCGGGCCCGCCCTCTACTCCGGGTTCCAGCCCAGGGCCCTGTGGACTGCAGCTGTCTATAGTGCTTCCTGTAACAGCTGCATGACAGCTACAACTCCCTGGGCTACTTCCCCATGGCCTCCTCCAAACACCTTCCTTATTCTCACCACAGGACCTTCCTACTGGTGTCTGATAACGTTTGTGCTCCTCAGTCCTCCAGCAGCACTCCCACTCCCACTCCCACTCCCTCTCCCTCTCAGCGCCTTGCGCCTCTTGCTCCCAGCTCCTCACACTCACACCACAAACTGAAGTGAGCTCCTTTTAAAACCCAGGTGCCCTGATTAGCCTGCCTTAATTGATTCTAGCAGCTTCTTCTTAATTGGCTCCAGGTGTCCTAATTAGCCTGCCTGCCTTAACTGGTTCTAGCAGGTTCCTGATTACTCTAGTGCAGCCCCTGCTCTGGTCACTCAGGGAACAGAAAACTACTCATCCAGTGACCAGTATATTTGCCCTCTACCAGACTCCTGCACCCCACTGGTCTGGGTCTGTCACAAAAGGTAATTACTGTGGGCCACACGTTCAGACCCACACACGTGCTTTTGGAGATCTGGCCTGTGTATTTTCCTTGGTTTGCAATCGGAACAATGTCCTCCAACTGGGGCATTAGTGGCTAACTCCACGGCCACTGATAGATTTCATGCTGCTGCCTACAACCCCCCCCCCCAAACTTTTTGGAATTTGGAAGGCTCTAAGTCACCAGGGTATCCTTTTATTTCAACAGTCCATTTGTTACAGTGCAAAGTGTGATAAAATAGGTCATGCTGCTAAAATACTGTTACACTTGCTCTTGTTTCTAAAATAATCTGATAAACTATTCAAGACCAGCTTTCTAAGTAGTCAGTCTTCCTCTGTATTTTTCAATGGTAGGGTTTTTTTGCAGTCATTAAAAATGCCATTGGCCACTTATAAGAAATCTGAAGATTGACTTCAGTGGAGTTACATTAGAGATGAATTTGGCTCAGAGTAATGGGGAAAGCTGCAGAAATGAGTGAGAAATCCTTTGGCAAACAAAGCTATTTTAATACATAATGTATTCATGGATGGATATACAATAGTTCTGCATGGCACTTGTATAGGACTTTTCATCGGCAGAGCTCCCTATGCCTTAGAAGAGTGTCTTTGTTGCCATGTGGGGAAGCTGAAGCACAGAGGGGCTTCACCAGCAAGCGAGGGGCTCAACACTGCTGAAAATCAAGCCCAAGGTGTCTCAAATTGGGCTTCCCAAAAAATGAGGTATCCAAAATTAGAGGCTACGATTGACATTGAGTCAGGGCAGAGCTGGGCCTGGAACTGCAGTCTCTTCGCCCGAGTTCTATCTGCCTCTCCTGGACAGAATGTCAGACCTGCTCAGATGCAACTGCCTGGAGAACCCTTGGAGACCACAAGACCCTAATGCTGGTACAAGCAATGGATATGACTTAATGCTGAAGGCCTATTATTTTGGAGCAGAAATTCCTTAGTTCTGTCCATGCCAATGACCACGAAGTCTTGTGTGGCCATGGAATCACTGCAATAGGCACTTCCTTACCTGTGCTTTACTGAAACTCCTTATGACAATGCAGCAAGTTTCCTGCAGCCGTGGCTCTTCTAAGCTCCCGTGCTCTCATTGATTACAGACGCCTTGCGTGCACACTGACATTTGTTTTAAGGATTCCCCCTCCCTTCCCACCCTCATTTTGTTCCCTGCTGCTGGAAAACCCCTCAAGAGCAAGAGACCTGCATGGCTTCTTGTAAGCGAGCCAAGCCCTAGTCTAGAATCCTGCGTCAGGCCCCTGTTGGTTCAGCTGTTGCATAGCTTGGAAAGAATGAACGCCCCGAGCGGAGTGGAGAATGCAAAGAACATGATATACAGGACAGCTTCCATGTGAGGCAGGAAGGTGGGGGTTGGGTGGAATGGTAGTATACGGGCAAGAGAAGGGAGCATCTAAAAAGCCTTCAGCTATTTTCCAAAGGCTCAGGGACTGCTTACATTTACAGGGCGGAGGATCTGATTTCAGCAGTTGCTAGAGCACTAAGCTATCCCCGGGTAAGTGCACTGCTAAGTATCCAAGTTCTGATACAAGCACCTGGAACAGAGTGGGATGACACCTGGCTAATAATGCAAGCAACGACTGGTCTGTAATGGCTCGGTGCAGGTTAACCCTGTTGCCTGGGAGGGAAATTTTTGTCACATTCACACGATCCTCCCTCCTTTTGTAGGTATCATCTCGGTGTGCCTCAGAAAGGACAGCTTGGGCAACCTAGGCCTGATAGCCAGCCCCAGCCTGCCGACCGACAACTGCAGTTCCTTGGATAAGGAGCATTCGGTGATGCTATGTCAGGAGATCAAGCGGACGTCCACCACCAGCAGCGAGCGCTTGTTTGTCAAATGGAGTCAGGCATCTTTCACAAAGACCATCAAAGACAGGTGAGTGCCCGGTGCAAGCAAGAGTCGAGGGGCTGCCTGAGTCGAGGGGCTCTGAAGCAGCAGTAGCTCCGCTTGCTATCTGAGCCGAATACAGACCGATCGCATTTATAGTCTGTGCCTTGTAGGCACGAAGCCCCGGTGGGCAGTATGCTTATGTCTGGCATAGGGATATTCCAAACAAATAATGGGCTGGCATCAGATCTCGCTCTGGTTTTGCCGCGGTGTAACTCCATTGGCTTCAGTGGCGTGACTCCTGATTTACTGCAGTGTCAATTAGATCAGACTCCAGCCATTGGCTTCAGCGGCCTTCTCTCCCCGCAATCCCCCAAAACAGTGGGCCAGATTCTGATGTCACTTACACGGGTGCCAATCTGGAGTGACTCCACTGACTAGTGCGGTCACTCCAGATTGACACCTAGGTGATTGTGACCAGGATTTGGGCCTTTTTCACAAACACCTCTTATTTGACCTCCACTTGCCATCAGGCAGAATTGCAGCCTCTGAATTCTGGAGAGAGCAGGGGATGCTTTTCACCTCCTCTGCCGGGTTGCAGGATGGCCCAAAAGCAGCAGGAAGGAAGTGAGGCCATGGCTGTGCCTCCTGTCCCCCAATCACTGCCCAGAGAAGCTCAACAGCAACAAAAGCCGCCCAGAGGATAGTGAGCTGCACCCTGTAAAAGGCTGTAAAGGGTACGTATGCAGCCTTTACGCTCATAAGAATACCTCCTGATAGTCTCCTTGCATGGAGCAGCTCTGGACCACCCCCAATGCGGGCTTATATCTACAACACTCAATGGAGCCCTGAACAGTTGCTCTGCTAGAATTGCAGAGAAGACCGGCCTTGATCTTTTAAATTCTCAAATGTTTTCAGTGAGACACAGGATCATTCACTCTAACTGGTTCAAAACAGACCCAGCTCAGCTATCGTTTAGAGGTACAATCCAGCTCCCATTAAAGCCAGTGGGAGTTTTGACACTGACCTCAATGAAAGAGGAATCATATCCGTAAGATGGATGAGACCAGGGGCTGAATACACAGGGAGAATGAATCCACTCTCCCCATCAGAGGTGGTCCCTCTAGCCCAGAGATAAGGCACATTAGCAGGCAGGTTGCCTGTGGTGCACCTGTTAGGTGGATAAATGGAGATCTCCAGGCTTCAGTGCAATGGATCTGGGCCCCTTCACAGAAGCCAAACTCGCTTTAAAATTGCAATAAAAAAATATTGGCACCAAGCAACTGCCTAACTTCCTGAAAATGACTTTAACTCGGTAACAAAGGATCCCTGCAGGTTAGCCAGGATGAATACTTATTTCCTCGAGGGTCCCTGAAAATTTCCTTTATCGGGTTTCATACTCTACAAAAGGAAGGGAAAAGGCCAACTTCTTTTCTGGGAGCTTACAAACCAAATTTGCTTCTTTGGTGTATTTTGTCTAGCGGCCCAGGGAAGGCGCTCCTGAGGACGGAACTTCAGTACCGTACGGACGACTCTTCGCTCATGGAGGATACAAATGGGAACCAGCCAGAAAGAAAGAGCTATAACCCCTGGGGACTGCACTGCCACCAACTGCACCTGAACCGCATGTCCTCCAAACTTGATGAGAACAAACTACATCGTATCCTTTTTTATTCCAGCCGTTCTTGTTGCACTTTACTTATTGCTTATTTCATAGCGGTGATGTTGAGGGGGGGAAAAGACCAACCTTCTGATGGAGAGTTGCTAATAATGGATCACAATCATAATCAATGAAACATTTTTATGTGTAGGTTATAACAGGCCCCAAAGCCCTTGGGCATGAATACAATGTATTTAATTGCGTTCTGGATACTCTCTGTCTGTATTTAAAAGAAATTCCACATGAAAGGGTGTCCATCCAAAGTCAAGGGAGCCCTTCACATAAAGGGATCAAAGCAGCAACAGCTCTTCTCCCTCGTCAGACACTCATTTGATCACCGGTCATGTAATCAATGCAGCTTAACCCCGCCACCAACAGACTTGAGTGACTTTAGTGTTGATGAAAGGTGTTGGATTGACAGCCCTGGGCTACATCTACACTAGAGAACTGAGCCATTGATAGTTTAACTGGTGATATTGCACTTAGAATAAGTTGGCTGAAATTGGCAACAAGGGGCCAGTAGCCATGATGAGTGCTGGTGAAGGTGCATTGCAAAGTCTCAGTACAATTGTGAATGATTATGGTGAACTTCAGAGGATGCGCAGAGCCACCCCTGATTAAGACCTATTTCAATTGTACATTTAATAATAACAAGTCTCCCTTAACTCATGTGTCCAGAGTTTCTGTTGCTTGAAAACGTGGTGTCAAAGTATCAATATCCCTGCATTCTGGACTTAAAGATGGGAACCAGGCAGCATGGAGATGATGCATCAGAAGAGAAGAAAACACGCCACATAATGAAGTGTGAACAGAGCACTTCTGGATCTCTTGGAGTTCGCATCTGTGGAATGCAGGTAGGGCGGCCTCTTGACCCCTTCAGTATTTCTGTTCTTCAAAACAAGCACAAGGAATTACCACTTAATAAACCCTAAGGGCCAGTTTCTCAGCTGGTATAAACTGCCATAGCTTCAGTCTTCATCTCAATTGAGCTACCCCGTTTTACACTAGCTAAGGATCTGGCCCTAGACACATACATTGCCCTGATTCTCTGCCCACGCTGTTCAGTGTTAGTCAGGACTGGAACCTTGAAGAAAGAAGAACATAAACTTTCCATGCTCATTCATTTCTAGGATCTGGCTAGTCTAGTCAGTGCAAATACCAGACACCCTGTTTGTGCTAAATATTACGTCTCTTCATGATGAAATCGTCACCCCCTTCCTGCTAGATACTGCAAGCATAAATTTGTTTCACTTGTGCCTCTGAGAAGATTTAGAACATTGCTCTGCTGTGTCTGCGGGATAATTATTATGATTAAAACACATAGATAGCACTGTAAATAGCTAGCGTCAAGTAGGTGCCTCTCCAGTCTTCAGATACTGAACTGATTATCCTTTTAATTACATGTGGTATGTAACCGAATTCTGTATCCACTCCCAGAGCTTGATCGTGTCAATATTCCTGTCTAGATTTCCTTGCGGTTCTTTAGTTCTGTGCTTTGGAAAATAAGACTGTAGTACAGCTGAGGGTGGGTACAGCACCTTTATTAAAGCCTTGTCTACAATGGTTGTTTGTTCCAGTTTCAGACACTCGTTTTGCTGCAAACCCTTAGTGTAGATGGGGGGTAAATTGCTATAAATCACTATTTCCCCCCATGCTTCTTATACCAGTTTCAAGCCGGGGTAAATTGTACCAGTGCAAACTGCGGCTTATAGCCTGTCTACACTAGGGGTTTGCACCAGTGCAGCTATCCTGCTGGCTGGCTAGCAGGAGCTTAAACCTCCCATGTAGACAAGGTTTTAGCTTCAGTTAGCGGCCTGGTGCATAAATTGCCATATGCTGTTGAGACTGGAGAGGAACGAAGCATCTCACGTACCAGCTTGATTGCGGACCCTTTCGTTTTAGATTAACTCTAAACGACGTGCTTTTCCTTCTGCCGAACTAGCTGGATTACTTACATGCAGGATGTTTCGAAGGTGCAATAATTTGAGAGACACACAATCTGGATTATTGTTCTTTTTATTCAAGGTTTACCAAGCAGATACTGGCCAATTTCTCTGCAAAGACAAGTATTATGGAAGGAAACTATCACCCGATGGCTTCAGACAAGCCCTCTACCAGTTCCTTCACAATGGTAACTGCCTCAGAACAGACCTCTTGGCACCCATTGTGTCACAGCTAAAGGCTCTGCTTTCAGTCATCAAAAACCAGAGCTCCTATCGATTCTACTCCAGCTCCCTTCTCATCATCTATGATGGACAGGAACCCAAGGAGAATAAAGAAACCTTAGACAACCATCCTCAGGGGTGTTTTCAGAACATAAACCGCACCATGCCACATGGGACTGGTCATCCCAAAGTTGACGTCCGCATGATAGATTTTGCTCACACCACTTATAAAGGTTCAAAGTATAATCACACCATCTACGACGGGCCAGACCACGGCTATATTTTCGGTCTAGAAAATCTTGTCAACATTCTTGAGAATACTAGAGAAGGAGAATGACAAATGCTGTGACATGGCATGGACTTTGTGGTGATAGATATCCCAGAAAGGGACTGCCTATGCATTGGGCCAACTGCATGGAGCCCCTCACGGCTTTTGAACATCCTGTGTACTTTTTGGAATGAGAGCATTGGTGACTTGCTAGGAAAGCGCAGAAGATGCTACATGCCATTACCAAAGCGAACTGTAAAAGCAAAGGATTGAAAAGAATCCACCGTGCTTGTGATCTCGCCGAAGATTTATTTTCCTTTCTTCTTTTACTGCTGTCCTTGATTTGTTTGCGACCGAGAGGAAAGCATTACTTGAAAGAATCTTAAAATTATTATAGGGCCTGCTCACCTCCATATGCACCAGCAAAGCCAAGAAGGCTAAGCAAAGACTGTGCAGTTGAGAGACTATTAAGAGGTGTTGGTAGGTCTGAACAAGTTGCAGCATTACTTTCAACCCAAGCTCAACATGATGGGCCAAGGACATTCAATGACACAAACAGAAGAAATCTTCACGCTCCAAACACCTGGCACTTTTAAGACTGTGATAATGTATGAAGCCCTCAATACAGTATATCTATCTATATCTATATCTATATCTGGTATAAGTGGTGCTATATAAGAGGTGCTATGTTTAAGAGGTCCTTGTTGTAAGGAATTTATAGTCCCAAGGCATGAGTGAGGATGCTACAAAGCACAAACAGAATCATACAAGTACTTAATATCCCCTGGAAGAATAAGGGCGCAGACTAAGGAGTTTTCTGAAGGAGTGGAGGGAAAGGAGACAGATATATCAGAGAGTGCTGAGTCTGTCCAATACTGATGTCGACAGTGAGTCAGATACTGGTCATGAAAGGATTCACATCAGGACCTGGTAGCGTGGAAGAGAATTTGTGACATAAGGCTTGCCAGTGCATGAAAGTTATTCCAGAATACGGTACGGTGTGAATAAAAAGCGGAACAGCTGTTCCAAAATAACTCCGTGTGTGGGTGCTTGTATTCTGGAATAAGAGTGCCTTTTTCTGGCTTAACTTAATCCACTTCCAAAGTGCATTACTCCAGAATAACAGTGTCCACACGTGTAGTTATTCCAAAATAGTTATTCCGGAATAACTCCATGTTTGGATAGGCCCTGAGTCAGGAACTGGATGTTTAGGGTCATCTTTTTTGTATGTGTACATGTGCGCACGTGTGTGTTTGGAGGACACAAAATTGGGAAAATTTAACAAAATGTTTACAATATTTGTGGGCAGATAAGAATACGGAACAACCTATATAACCAATTCCTTCCTGTGCAATGTGGAAAACCTGTAGAATGTCCTTAAGTCAAGAACAGAGATACAAAGTCCAATTACTGGGGAGCTGAAGTGTAAATAAAATTGTCCAGGTCACTGTCCCTTATTGTTGTGCGCCTCTTTTCCTCCCTTCCTGGGCCGCCTGGAGTTGTGTTGTTTAGCACTGATTGCTTTAAAAGAACTATTCTTTTCACAGGTTTAAATGTCCCCTCAAGGAAAACCCGTTCACATGTACTTTATTGCATGCAGCTAGTGAATACCCACAAATTATGGCTGGCAAATTCAATCGTCTGGCTGGCTTGCATGTTTTACTTAGGCAGGGTGAAATCAAGTTCTTTATTGGAAGTTGTTTACAACACTGCATGTTCCTAGCATACAATCTCAGATGACCACAAAGAGCCACAGTAGCCCCACTTGAGCAGTCAAGGTGACAAACCACCAACAGCTCTGGCACTTTGGAATGGATCACTTGATGATTCCCTGTTCTGTTCATTCCCTCTGGGGCACCTGGCGTTGGCCAGTCGGAAGACAGGATACTGGGCTAGATGGACCATTGGTCTGACCCAGTCTGGCTGTTCTTATGTTCACTTTCTGGCTTTGCCCAGACATTGCCCTTTTCTAAGATGCACCTGTAGCTCTTTTCTTGCCGAGCATCCTCATTCTGCCAATCTTGACATACAACCCTCCACAAGGGAAAATATTCCCTCATTACTTATTGTTGACCTAGATAGATCGATGCACCCTTGTGCTGCTCTTCAAGAGTGCTATAACCCTGCAGCTGTAGTAAAGAGTGTGCCTAACTCCTGTCCTGGCTGCCACAGGAGGGGATCAGGAAGGGCTGAGGGTGAGGAGTTGGGTTGTGGCGTTTGATTGCTCCTCTGAAAAGGAGGAGTGCGCCTCCTAGTCAGAGCTTCCTGCTGGATATGAACTCTAGCCCTGCTGCTGCTCTGTAGGTCTACAAGAAGGGTGGAGGCCATAAGCAGCACAGCTGCAGACTGTGAAGCATAGGGACTGCTCCCTCCAGGAGCCCCCTAAATGCAAGACACTCCAGAGGAGGCAGGGCCATGTCCTTGCTTTCCAATGCATTAGGGCAGGGGTCGGCAACCTTTCAGAAGTGTTGTGCCAAATCTTCATTTATTCACTCTAATTTAAGGTTTCACGGGCCAGTCATACATTTTAACGTTTTTAGAAGGTCTCTTTCTCTAAGTCTATAATATATAACTAAACTATTGTTGTATGTAAAGTAAATACGGTTTTTTAAATGTTTAAGAAGCTTCATTTAAAATTAAATTAAAATGCAGAGCCCCCCAGACCAGTGGTCAGGACCCAGGCAGTGTGAGTGCCATGGAAAATCAGCTCATGTGCCGCCTTCGGCACGCATGCCATAGGTTGCCTACCCCTGCATTAGGGGGCTCCTGCCTGTGTGCAGCTGAAGGCAGTGTCTAAATGCTGTGAATAGAACTCCAGTAGGACTGGTGGAACAGGCTAAGATAGTTTGGTTACATGCTGATAAAGCCCCTGCGTTAGCTATTTCTCTAAGCAGGAGACAGGCTCCACTGCTACTTGCAAAGGGGTAAGAGGTTCCTTACACGCCCTTTTCCTCTTTATGCAGTAGCACAGGGCAGGATTTAGCCCTCCATCAGGCATAAGGTATGCCTCTGATTCAGAGTACAACCTTGTTAGCTGGGAGTGGAGATGGAGAAATGGATAAGCCTTTCTATGCTTTAAAATGGCCAGAAAGCGAGCATGACACTAGCTGTTCTGTGCCGCACAGTCGGTAGCCTGGCACCGACATGTTTGCAGCACAGCAGAAGCCAGATCTCTTTGTCAGCTGCACAAAGCCTTGTACGCGGCAGAGTAGGCAGCAGGCTAATAAATGAAGGGGCAAAGCAACACCGTTCAGCAGCAGCCTTTCAAAACACACTGTTCTTATAGCCATGTTAGTCCCAGGAGATGAGGAAGACGAAGTGGGTGAGGAAACGTTTTATTGGATCAACTTCTGTTGGTGGACAGGACAGCAAGGCACAAGCTTTCGAGCTACACAGAGTGAAGACTTCTGTAGGGCTTGAAATCATTTACCTTCCACCACCAGAAACTGGTCCAATAAAAGATATGACCTCGCCTAGTACCTTGTCTCTCTCAAATGACCTGTCTCTCAGGTTATGAACCAGTGCATGGGTGACCCCTTTCACACACCAAGCCTCTGAGTGTGACCCCTCTTATAAATTAAAAACACTTTTTTTTATATTTAACTCTATAATAAATGCTGGAGGAGATGCAGGGTTTGGGGGTGGAGGCTGATGGCTCGTGACCTCCCATGTAGATTCATAGATTCTAGGACTGGAAGGGACCTCGAGAGGTCATCGAGTCCAGTCCCCTGCCCGCATGGCAGGACCAAATACTGTCTAGACCATCCCTGATAGACATTTATCTAACCTACTCTTAAATAGCTCCAGAGATGTGATAACCTTTCCAGTTTGAGAACCCTTCTATAAACCAATGGATGATAGGCTTCAGAGTGTAGATTAAGGGGGACCCTGACTCCCTTCTGCTCTTTAACAATTATTCCAGGGATGTTTTTCACAAGCAGGGGCCTCTCCAGGCTTGGTGGTCTGGTCAATGTGCTGTGGAGTTAATTGGAGCCTGGCTGCCCCAGTTCTCTCTGCAGACAATATCCCTGAGGTGCTCGTGCTGCTCCCAGGCAGGAGACCCAGGCAGGAGCATGCACCGGGCACTGAGACATTCCCCATTCCCCTCCCCTCTTAGATCTGCCCCTCTCCAGCACGCTGGCTGGAGGCAGGTCAGGAGCATGCACCAGGCTCTCCCCCTCCACCCCACCTTCCCCTCTGGGAGCGCGCTGCTCCCAGCCGCCCCGCAGGGAGATCAGGCTACATCTCAGGGTCAGGCGCTAGCCCCTTCGGCGCATGCGTATCCGCCACCTGCTGCCCCCAACTCAAGCCCGTAGCACATGGCTTCGCTGGGCCATGCTGCGCACGCACCATCTGACGAACGGAACGGCCGCTCTGATTCCGCATGCGTGCGGAACGGTTCCTCTCGCTCTCCGTACTTTTGAATAATTCGAGAGCTTAGTCGCATGTTCAGAGTCACGTGACCTGTTAATCGTCTCTGGGAGGGTGCGCGTGGGCCTCAGTCCCAAGATGGCGGCCACCCGCTACCGTCGGTTTCTGAAGCTCTGCGAGGAGTGGCCGGTGGAGGAGACCAAGCGGGGCCGGGACCTGGGGGCCTTCCTGCGGCAGCGGGTGGCCCAGGCCTTCCGGGAGGGGGAGAGCACCCAGGTGAGCGCCGCGGAGGGGCGGGCGGCGGCTCCGCAGCCCTCGGGTGGGCGGGGCTTGGGTTTGGGCCCCGGGGGGGGAGGGGGAGAGAGACAGCCACGTCCCGCGCCTCACAGCCCCCCCCCCCCAGCTGCTCCCTGACACCTGCACACCCCCTGCAGCCCCACAGCCACCCCCGGCTTATCCCCCCTCCCATCTCTGCTCACAACCACTGCCTCGCAGCTCCCCTGCCCCCCCGCCCCTCACAGCCCCCCGATCCCCCGTCACCCCCTTACACCTGTACCCCATACACACCCCTTCAGCCACCTCTTCTCTTACATCTCTACCTGCAGTCACTGCACCCCCCCTCTGCACCCCCAGTCACCCCCTTACACCTATACCCCATAAACATCCCTTGTAGTCCAAAAAACACCTCTTCTCTTTCATCTCTACCTGCAGTCACTGCCCTGGCCCCTCACAGCCCCCCGACCTCCCAGTCACCCTCTTATACCTGTACCCCGTACACACCCCTTCAGCCACCTTTTCTCTTACATCTCTACCTGCAGTCACTGCCCCGGCCCCTCACACCCTACCCCGATCCTCCTCAGGCCCCTTACACCTATATCTGTCCCACACACCCCTTCAGCCACCTTTTTTTTTGCAGTGCTATTTCTACTACCCATTTAATAGCTACTGCAGCGATCATAACTCAAATACTGGCAGGGTCATTTTAGGTCTGGATACAAAATGTGCTTAGTCTGGAGATCAAGTATGGTGATACTTAGTGTTGACAGTTCACTCTCACTTTTCCTGCCTCCAACAGCAGCCATTACCTGATGCTGTGGAGAAAGAACAATCACTTCTTAATTCTCCCCATTTGCTTATTATATTATTATGCAGGCTTTTCTGTCTGCTATTT